AAGAAAAAGAGAAAAGGACATCAAAGGCAAGGAGTACTGGGGCAGGGACAGGCGCCACAGGACGGGGTCTAAGAATAATGTCCAGCAGTGGTAGATGACGACGCCATAGAAGAGGGCTGGGTGAGGACCTGGGAACACAAATGGGAGGCACTGGAGGGAACTGAACTCTTAGGGGGCAAGAACGCTATTGGGTATAATTCTAAATTTTATGGGTTCTAGGCTGAGAGTAAACACCCGGTCAAGTGAAATACCACTAGAAAACCTGTGTTTCTGGCCAGAAGAACCCAGAAGCAATACTCACAGGCATGGAAACCGAGGCGTAGCCCAGAAAGAGCGAGTAGAAAGAAAGGGTATAAATCTTGGGTGTCAGCCAGCTAGAATCTAAGGCTAAGCCACAACGCCTACATGCACTGAACGCCAGGGAAGGTTAAGGACGTGAACTGAGGTTGGCACTACTGTCTCAGAACTGGCGGTCTCAATTCTGCCAGGTTAATTATCTGCTTGGGAAAAAAAAAATAGACGTTCTTTAGAGGAATATATACAAATCCAGAGTTATCGTCATGTAATGTTCAAGGTAACTATGCAAAACCCCCAGATTGTACGATACAAAGAAACAGGAATAAGCGACCAATTCTCAAGAAAAAAAAAATTAAATAAGAGCCTGAGACCAATCAGATGTTGACTTTTTTTTTTTTTTTTTTTTTTTTTTAGAGGCAGGGTTTCCTCTGTGTAGCTTTTGGAGGTTGTCCTGGAACTTGCTCTATAGCCCAGGCTGGCCTCGAATTCAGAGATCCGCCTGCTTCTGCCTCCTAAGTGCTGGGATTAAAGGTGTGCGCCGCTGCTGCCAGGCTCAGATGTGGACATTTTAAAATGACAATTTTATGACAGTTATAATTATGCATAGCAATGTTTAGGAAAACATGAATGGATAGGTGATCTCAACTGAGAGGAACTCTAAAACAAACAGAAATTCTAAAAGTAAAATCAGTTTATAAAAGTTACCATGAGGCCTTGAAAATAAGGAGAGATGCTAGGAGCCAGTAAACTCAAAAATTGAACAGCTGAGGTTATCTACTTGAAAGAACTTTAAAAAAAAAATTTTTTTTTCCCCATGAGCAGCCTGCCCGTTAAGACTATAATAAACACACAGAAGTAACAGGTTTTCGATGCAGAGAAAGTAGAGCCTCGCAGTTGCTAGTAGGAACAGGAATTAGTCTAGCTGTTGTGGGAAAGCTTGACAGTTCCCCCAAACCTTAAACAGCGGGGCTGGCAAGCCAGCTCAGAGAATGAAGGCACTTGCCGCACGCCAGGTGATCTGAGTTTGATCCCAACAACCTACCAGCTTAAAAGGAGAGAGCCCACTTGCCTAGATTGTCCTCTGACTTCCACAAGTATGCCCCTATCCCAACACAATAAATAATGTTAAACAACAATCTGACCCTACCAATGTAGCCAGAATATTCAAAACCAGATGTTCAAACAAATGTCCACAATAGTGTTGCTCATGACAGCACCAAGGTAGATACAATCTAAATGTTCACAACCTATAAAAAAAAAAAAAAAAAAAAAAAAAACAAGTATGCTACCACCACATGAAAGATTAGTCAGCCAGGAATGATCTTCAAAATATTATGCTAATATTAGGAGCGATGGCTCAGTGGTTATGAGCACTAATTGCTCTTCTGGAAGATCTGGGCTTGATTGCCAGTACGTACATCACACAGTGCCTCACAACCACCTGCAGCTCCAGCTCTAGGAGGTCCATCCCAAACCGCTGGCCTCTGTCAACACCGGGCACATGTATGGTACATGGGCATGCTTTACACATAAGAAAATTTAAATATTATGCTAAGTGAAAAGGCCATACCCGGAAGGTCACATCTTGCCTGATTCTGCTCTGCTTATGTGAACTGTGCAGAGCAAAGCGCGGAGATGGTGAGCACCCCGGCCATCAGAGAGGAGGGCACCAAGGGACTGCTGCATCTTCTACGTTTCTGGACTGTATCTTGTCCGCCTGTGCAGCTGCCACGGTATTCCAGACACTAATTTATAAAGAAATCTTGTAAACTTCTAGCAGTTGCAGAGGAATTTCTCACGGTTCTGCAGGCTGGAAGGTGCTGGCATTCAGGGACGACCTTCTTGATGTGTCAGATCATGGTGGAAGAGCAGGGAGTCAGAGAGAGAAAGGCCAGGCTTGCTCGTTCACAATCAGTCCACTCTGCCACAACACTGCCAAAATGACTACAAGCTCGGGGTGGAAAACCAAGGATCTGGTTTCCCACTTAACAACCTACACGGAGGCGTGGAGATTATAAAGCTCTGAAGAAAACCTATTTTGGGGGGAGGAGGCTTGAGATAGAAAATGAGAAACAAAGGTGATTCTTTGGATTTTAAGGAAACTTCCTTTTGCCTTGCTACGGTGGCAATGTGTATTTTTTTTCCCCGGCACTCAGGAAGGAGAGGCAGACAGATCTCTGGAGTTCAGGGCCAGCCTGATCTACATAACTTTTAGACCAGCCAGTGCTACATAATAAAATCCTATATTAAACAAAACAAAAACCCTTCCTTTTCAAGAATGTGGACTCTGTAATGACCATGTATCATAGTCATAAAAAAATAAAAATTTAACTTCCCTTTGCTGTGCTCACTTGAGACCCTCAGGACACCCAGCTTACACAAAGGAAGTGGGAATTAGGCTGTATGTCGCTTTGCCTCCATTCTGACAAGTATTTATAGGGAGGAGACAATATTATACAAAGAACTAAACATTACATTGAAATTGTCTCTTAAATCTTAGGATGCTACAAATGTTGCACCTCAAAACACAAACTGGAACCAAAGGACTTCCGGTTTCTTTAACTCATGTTAACTATGAACTTCCGGTTTCTTTAACTCATGTTAACTATGAAACACCCTGGTTCCAGGATTCCAAATATGACACAGTCTAATTAGCTAGAAGAGCAAACCCCACGGAATGCAAATGCTTTGCAGAGAAAGGGCCCCACGGCGGCGGCAAGTTTAGAAGGCATACAAATCACTTCCTACTCTTTGAGCAGACTGTGCGATTGCTGGCCCAGCAGGACATGATGAAAGGGATGCTGGGGCCAGGCCTCAAAGGATGGGCAGGGCAGCTTCCTCTTCCAGCTGCCCTATGGAGGGCAAGGAGAAGTCCTGTGAGGAGGAAATGGAACATCATGTTGAACTCCAGGGCAAGGCCAGCATAAACTTGGCCAGTTCTGCTCAAGTATTTCCTCCCCCGCCCTCCCTGCCCCTGCAGCTATCCCAGTGACACTGGAGGATCAGGCGGGATATTCCCACCAATCTTGTCCCACGCTGCACACTGGAGAACAGACTAAAGGAACACTGTTACAGTGATAGCCACTGGGCCACTCCCCAGTGTCCTACACGCCTAGACAGAAACTTTCTCAAAACTGAAGCTTGATAGCACCACACACACACACCTCGAAACTCGGTTAAACACATTGGTACAGGGTCAACACAAAAGCCAGCCAGCCAGGCTCCTGCACCCTTCGCTGCTTATTTACTGGGGACACCCACAGTGCAGTCTCTCCAGGCCATGGAGGGCAAGATCACATTGCTTAGTCTGTTAACACTCTCAGAGAGTAAATCATTTTCAAAGATAAACACTTAATTCCAGCGTATGAGCCTCCACTTACAGTCTGCCCTTTGAAAAGGAAGAAGTACGGCTCAACGGGGCTGAAAGCGTTTTGGAGCATCTTTAACTTTGCAGTGGATCAGAAGTCTTCACTGTCTGGTTGAACCAGTTTATAATTTTCTTATGCAATTTTTCATATTCATGCATGAACAGTTTTCACACCTATGCATGAACAGATGCTGTTTAAAAAATAAGAATAACACACTTGCTCACATTTAAGTTCAAAACCAATCAAGAACCGCAGCCTCCTAGCAGGGAAAATGAATGTCTGCTGCCCTCTCCTGCTACAACAATGAACTGAGAAATAACCAGGGGAGGCTGGAGCCCAGTGAAATCCTCAAGTCAAAGGGAATGGTCATGGCATTCTCACGGGACTCCAATCAAAAACCAGACAACAACAAGAAAATGGATTGGTAATATTTATATTTGAAAGTCCCCCATTGATACATGAGGTTTAGATTACAACTTATTTACAGTAATTAAAAAAAAAGGAGAAGAATGGACTGATAAAGAAAATAGAGGAGATGGGGAGGAGAGGAAGGGAGCAAAGGAAACCTGTATTCACAGACACCATAATATGGGGGTTCGTTTCCAGGAGAGACTATGGCCGCTATCGCGCACAAAAAGCAGCACAGATTAACATTCCGCTAAACTCAAGGTCTGCTCGGCTTCCTCTTGAGATGCACAATCCTTTCCGGTTCTCAAAATCAAACGTAGAGGAATATAAAAGGCTTTGCTGATATACTTATTACAAAAGTCCTTTATGGCTCATCCCTAACTCTGCTCCGAAGCAGCTGAGCCGGAATACAAAAATAAAGCTATTCCTGTGCAAATGCAATGCCACAGACCACACCTGCCGCCACCTTTCTGTGACAGGCAACCATCGCTTTGTGATAGCATCAAAGGAGAGAAGCTCCTCGCTTCCTGGGCCAGATCGATGCAGCCAATTACAAGGAAAAACAAAGCACGAAAGGAAAACTTGGTAATGCTGACACCAGCCTCCCATCCTCCCCACTGCCCATCCCCCGTGATCCCCCATGCCCACAAAGACATAAAACAGCTTTTAAAGCTATAAGTATACTTTATTTCCCTTCCCATAATGTGACTGAGCCTAGGGCTGTGTGTTCAGCATAGCAGGTGCGATTCCAAGCACTCCCTAGGTCTGTCTGCACCCTGGACTGCCGCAGCAGGCACATAAAGGAGGCACAGAATCACATGACCCTGCTACCTAGGCAAAGAGCCCAGGGAGGAGGAGCTTGCTCTGCTCCTGCACATCCAGTCACATTCAGGGGATTATTTATTTCTTTATTTTTTTATTTTATTAAAAAAAAAACAGTCAATGTCAGGAAGAACAAAATGTAATCAAAATTGCAAAGGACAATAACAATGAGGGAGGACCACCAGGGACATGAGCGCAATGAGGAGTGTACGCTTGATCCAGAGGAGACGATCGCTTCACCCACACAGCCGTGGCAGGCCTGCGGCCTCGGCATCATTCTATCACAACATTTGAAATTAAATTTTCATTTTTTTCCCAAGGACACTCTAAGTCTTATCCCTGAAACCAATATGGTAGGGATAAGGTTGGAGTGGTCACCACTCACTAACTACAATATTTGCTATTGAAAAAATATATTTATATATAGTTCTGGAAACTATGAAGCAAACAAAATAGAACACAGAGCTGAGTTTGTCATAGTTAACTCACGAAAGCGACAGCAGGATTGCCCAGGGAAGGTCAGACAAGGGGCTGCTGCAAACGCAGCAAGTGTGTCCTTAAATATGTCACAAAGTGCAACAATCAGGTACCTGGGCTAGCTTCTCGTTACCACACACAACATGACAGGTGTCATATTGTCACTTTCAGTTAAAAAGAAAGATGAGTGGTTTTTCTCAGAAGTTGCCCTGTGAGTTTAGACAGCTCTAATCACAAATCTTAAATAGTCTAAAGCTTAGCTTTATTCTTCTCAGCTGGGAATGATCAACAGACAAAACTGACAGACAGGGTGCCGGCACTGTCCGCCCTCAGCACAGAGGACAAGGACATGGTGCAGAGAGGGGTCCTGACCTCGCCCGTCTCAAATGAGCATATTTCATCCCGAGGGGCACAGGTCATGGCAAGCAGAGTTTATACTATCAAAGATACGTGTAATGAAAATCTAAAGTAATGGCTAAAATAGAAAAGCTAAAAGAAGAGATGGGCTACGGTTTAGCATCAATGTGTGAACCTGCACCTCTGCTCCAGTACATTTCTAACACGGGACCCTCCTTAATGCTCTTTAAAACCCTCGTCATTCCACAGAACCATCTTGTACTTGGAGGTCTCACACCTTAAAAAACAACAACAACAACAAAACACTGTGTTTCCTTTTGAGAATCAACAAAGGCATTAAAAAAAAAAACCCAAAGGTACTAGATGAAAATATCACCCATCATTAGTTTACTTTTATGTACACACTGTGACTGACAATCTGGAAACACTTCATAAGTGAGAAAGGTCAATCAATGGCTTTTCCCCTCCTTTTTCTTGCAAACAACAAAGCTGCATATTCTACTTTACACTTAAAAGGAAGGAAATATACAAGCCCGTATCTATACGGTATTTCTACGAGAGCAACAACAGTTCATGTGTTCATGTTAGCTACGATCACAACTCAACATATGAACACAGAATCAGCTCTACGTCATGAACACTGCTGGACATGATGGTTCAGGGTTATGGGCTCGCTGCTGCCCTGTCTCGAATGAGCAAGAGCTTCCCAGGAAACCAATCCCCCAACACATATTTGCCAGTACACAGCAATGCAACCACATGGGGCAAGTATATACTGCACACCAGTACATCAGCAATTTGCCTATCAAGCAAGATTCTTCCTTTAATACAGAACAGAGAGCCAATAAGATACACCTAGAGTATAGCCCTAGTTTTGTGTTTATTTCTTAAACAATTTGGTCACGATGCACCTTTGATATAAAAGTATTTTTTAAACTTTATTATTAATACTCAGGACATTAGGAATTTCCAGATTTTTTTCAGTAGCATTTGTAGAACCACTTTTGGTAACAAATACAGTAGTTAGGAATATGCATCCATATCAGAATGCATAATGTTGATCCTGAATCCTTTCTGGCTAAAAACAGGGCTGGCGCTGTGATGAGCTATTGAACGAGAATCTACAAAAAAACACTTGAACATGTTTTGTTTCTCCCAGAGGCTGCATCCTCTTTTGCGGAAATACTTTATAAGTACATATTAGAAAGTAAGGCAACAACTCCAAACAGTTCGTGCTGTTTGCTCCACTCGGTTCCCAATTGGATGCGCAGTCCTGGTGCTCAACGTCATGGTTATATGCTTAGTGTTCTGTCTTTCTCACTTCATAGGGTCGGAAAGGACGTTTCTCTGACATGTCTAAATTGTCTCTGGTCTGGGTGCACCATGACGACTGCAGCTAGTGCTGCAGGGGCTGGAGCCTGCGCGCCCTGCTGCCCGTTTTCAAAGGATTCAAACATTGATTTGGACTCACCATATCTGATACGCAGCCCAACATTCCCTTTGCTACTATGCTTATCCCCCCCTCTTGTTACTCCTGATCTGAAAACTAAAGGAGTACCGGCAACACCTGGGCACTGGGAAGATGCTCACCCAGCAGACAAATTTCACCAGCGACCTCTGTAACTCATTGCCCCATTCCACGTGGACATTTGACTCATGAAGGTGTGCAAAAGGAAAGGATGTCAAATTACAGTCAAGCTGTCCAGAGGAGGGTGTTATACAAACTTATAAAGAATGACAATCTTTTCTTCCTTTACTATAAATACATTTAACAGCTTAGCAGAAAGACAAGCTAAATTTAAGATTGTTCACATTTGAAAATTGTATCATACTCTCTGCTAGTGATAAATAAGGAACTCCTGATAATGGAATTTTAACATAGCAATTTCACCAACAGATCTCTGAAGACCTTTTGTTGTTTTTTCTTTTTTTTAAGAGGGTTAGAACAATGATTATGTTTGCAAAGTTCTGAGAAGTCCATCTACTGTCCAAACTTTGGATTGAAGTCCTTATGTTTCCTTTACTTAGAGACAGGTATATACAGTGCTGCTGTAATAATGAGACAAATGTGAAATCTACTGTAAAGTTGCACAATACAGAAAACTGTTGCTCCATCCTTCTACTACATAAGCGTGTGACCCCATGGGTTAGTGATGTCGCAGTCAGATTGCTGTTAAGTTGGAATTATTCCATCGCGCCTAAGACCTCTCTTTAACTCCAGATCCTCCAATTTTTTCCACAATTCTTCACGCTCCTTTTCTTTCTTTTTCTCACTGGAGGAAGAAAGAGAAAACAGTGTCAACAACTGAGAGGTCTGGCGAGACTGCCCACCAGAAACAGCCTCTCCCTCACAGAGGCCCTAGAGGCTCTGAAGCGACTGGCAGCAAGCCTCATGGGATTTCCTTTTGGGGTTCTCCCTCATGCGGGGTCTATGCTGACACTCGCACTGACACAGAAATAGTACAGAGTGGAAAACAAGACTTTTCAGGTTTACATTAACATCCATTTATCTGCAGATACAGTATAAATTATAATACAGTGCACAATTACTGAGAAAACTAGAGAAGGCTTCTAGTATCGTATATCTTAAAACCAAAGTGTTTGGTGGCTTCTAAATGCTCAGGGCCTTGTTAGAACCCAACCTTCTATTTGTTCCCAAATAAATACTCAAAAGAGATGCTGGAAACAAAACTGACAGAAAAGGGACAAGATCAAGAAAATACATTTTCTCCTTCATTTGTGTCCAGTTTTCCCATACAATGCATACTGAAACTGGTTATTTCTGAAAACATATGATCAAAGTATATTTATGTTTTATGATATAATGTATTAATGACCTACATGAAACTTTGTGGATACTGGTATTATGGTGTATTAAAATTTTAAGTGAACAAGCCTTCAAACTTGGTTAAATACCAATTGACCAGTGATTTCCAGAATTTCAGACTACATTGTTTGGCAAAGTTTACCACAATTGGATAAGCCAAAATAGGTTCAGCAACTGAATTTTGCCAAAGACATTTGGAAATTTCAGTGTTATTTTTAAACAAATGCTTTAATATCAATCAAGTAGCAAGTACATAATCAACATAAAACTATAAATTAAACACATTCACACTTATTTAAAATTTTTTATCACATGAATTCACATCTACTAACCTAATTCAGTTCATTGCTAGCTTACTACAATGAACTGGTAAAAAGTAGACCAAGATAACACAGTGAAGTCACAAATTCAAACCATTCCTAAGCACGGGAGCTCTGCTGCCTCAGACTCAAGCAACTGGTCCTTCATATCCCACTTCAGCAATAGCATATTCTTTATTCAGAGAAATTAATATGGATAATGTGAACTTTGCATGGAATTCCAATATTAAACATTATTTCAGCAATCACTAATACTCAGCAAAGTTATATTAAATTCTCTAACAATAGAAAATCAGGCTGGAGAGATGGCTCAGTGGTTAAGAGCACTGGCTATTCCAGCGAACCCAGGTTTAGTTCTCAACATCCACATGGCAGCTCACAACCATCTATAACTCCAGTTCCAGGGAAACTGAACATCCTCTTCTGTCCATCTCCCTTGTAGATATGCGGCACACACACAAACACATGTGTGCCTTTTATGTGCATGGGTATACACAGAAAAAATAAACTTTTAAACAGAAAACCAATAAAAATTAAGTTTCATTCTCATAAAGAACAAAACAAAGCGAAACAAAAGTTCTAAGAAGACTAAGCAATTTGACATTCCCATTGCAATTGCAGGGATGTTGAATCATATACCATAATCACTTCTTCACTTAATAATTAATATTCTGGCAATTTAGACCTTGTTTACTAGGATTTCTATTTTAACTGCAATCTGCACAGTGTGAACTTCAGCAGGCATAACTGTCTTCAAACATTAAGTCTTTAAACTTAGGTAGTAATTTTGAACTAGAACAACTTCATTTAAGGGCATAATGGACAACATTAGAAAAGTATCCAATCATCATGGATTTTTTTTTACTTTTAAATTAAGTTGAGATTTATTCAGAAAAATATTTTAGGTACTAGAAAGAGGGATTTGCAGCTATGAGCTGAGGGTTGCTCTTCCAAAAGACCAAGCTCAGTTCCCAGCACCTACATGGTGGTGGCTCATGAATGTCTGTAACTCCAGTTCTAGGGGCCCCAAAGTCCACTTCTGGGCTCTGCAGGCACCAGACAAACATATATAGCACATACATACATGCAAGCAAAATATTCATGCACAGAAAAAATAAAAACAAATATTTTAGAAAATTTTAACATGTGATCCCACACTCATACAGCTGAGGCAGGAGGATTACTTGAAGTTCAAGGCTAGCTTAAGCTACAGAGAGAACATATACCTCTTCCCAAAAGGCAAAAAGCTCAACTAGTATTTTAATAAAGAGTAAGACAGAAGGAGATGAAGGCTGAAGAGGGTTACACTCTAGAGTGAGTCGGTCTCTAGAAAGGGAGTTGCTGGCTTCCAGACTCTAGACTCTCAGTTGTAAGCAAGCGGCTGGGCAATTATCACTTGTTTGACAGTACAATCTGAAGATAATATTAGTCTAAACAAATGGTCTCAGAGAACGCTGGTTTAAGTACACAGACATAAATTTTATATAAGGTTTAATGCCTCTGACTTCTTTGTCTGGCAGAGGCAGAGAGGAAACAGGGGTTTGGGAACTTCCACCAACTGAAATCAGCTCATCCTGTGGCAGCTCACACTGCCCTAAACTGCAGCTGGCATCATGACATCATCATCTTCTCCTATGGAAGCTGCTCCCTCAGTTCATCGGCTCTACGGTGTGCAATGTGATTTGTCCTGTGTGTCCTTTCTTTCTCCAGATGAGTGGACGCTGAGCGGCCATACTACTTTCATACTGACAACTCAGGTTAAACTTAGTCTCAGCTTAAGACATTCCCATCATCCCTAAAGAAGAAATCATGTTGCCCACTTCTTCCTCCAGACCCTGGCACCCAGGTCTGATGTGTCTATGGATTTTCTTTTACTGCCCTTTCATATAAATGCAACTATATACTGGAAAAAAAATCTAGATACTTCTCTTTTTTGTTGTCACATGTAGCCCAGGCTGCCCTGTATTCCTGCTCCTCCGGCTTCCAGTTGCTGGAAGCATCTAATCCCAGATGCTGGGATTAGAGATGTGGACCACATCTGGTTCCCAAAAGTCTAAATATCTCTGATGCATTGAGTGCCAGCCTTATTTTTCCCAGTTTTTCTCACTGTCGGTGGGAATTTTAAGACTTCAGCACCCCCGTCTCATTTCACATGGCACTGGTGTTGGCACCATACGCAACAGTGTCAAAAGCTTACTCCACCCACCATTCTCATTTGAATGCTCAAAAAACCTGCTGGGAACTGAAACCATCAACTTCCTGCCACCGACAAGTAAAACCTATTTCGCTCTTTCATCACAGCCCCAGATCCCCATGCTCAGTTACTAATTAACAGTGACTCACTTATGCGGAGAAGCCAATACTTGTATCTGCTCAGAATAGCCTTTTGCACATTTGGCAAAGTATCATTCTTGTTTTTAAAAATAAATAAACAAATAAGTAAAAACAACTTTCATTAAGGAAGTTCATTTACTATTAACCGCCTTAGCCTTCTATCGGGTCAGCCTCACAGTTGTCTACTCCTAGTCCCTTAGTGAATTCGTCTATTTTCAAGTGATTGAATTATTTAGCTTAGATAATAAAAGATCACAAAACAATTTCATTGAGGAAATTCATTAAAGATGGATCAATTAATTTGCAATAAGGCCGTGTGTGTGTGTGTGTATGAGACTGTGTATGTGAGCGTACTAAGTCAAGCACACCCTATCACTTACTTACACTGAAGCTCCTCCAATATTCTTACTAAGATTTCACCCAGACTTACTCCCTGTTTACTACAATAATAATGATTATAGGGTCTCTGTTGCCCTAACAGGCAAGTGTTATGCACTGTGAACTGTTTAATGGTTCACCATGGTATTCTAATGTGCCCTTAATTCCCCTCCCCCTTTTTAAAGTGTCTAGATATTTTTTGCCTGCACATATGTCTATACATCGTGTGTATGCCTAATCCTAAAGGAGGCCAAAAGAGCAGGTTAAATCCTTTGAAACTGAAGTTTGAACTTTTGGGAGTTGTTATGGGTACTGTACTTGAACCTGGGTCCTCTAGAAGAGCAGTAAATCCTCTTACAGATGAGCCAAGCCATCTTTCCAGTCCCCCTTAGGTCTTTTTTTTTTGTTTGTTTTGTTTTTTCGAGACAGGGTTTCTCTGTGGTTTTTGGAGCCTGTCCTGGAACTAGCTCTTGTAGACCAGGCTGGTCTCGAACTCACAGAGATCCGCCTGCCTCTGCCTCCCAAGTGCTGGGATTAAAGGCATGCGCCACCACCGCCTGGCCCCCTTAAAAAAATAACTTTTCTACGATTTTAGCTTAACTGTAGAGCAGGGAGGGTCATTATAAACTTAGTAATTTTTAACAACTGGTAATACAGAATTGACATTAATCTCAAGGTTGTAATGAAAAACAATACTATAATTTAAACCATATTCTGTGATTAAACAGTTTCCCATAAACCATATCCTGTAACTTAAAAACAGTCTCTGCCTTGGTCCTCTGTTCTCAACCCTTTCTACCCATTGCCCTTTTCCTTGGTAAAACCCAGTAACACACTCTAAACAAGGAAAGCGAAGAAGAAAAACAACAGCAGGAAACATCCTTCCATGAGGTCCAGTAAAACCCCGGGTGGAACATCCCCACATGCCCACTTTGGGAGTCCTACAAAGCTGGCATTCACCTTCCTGTGATCAGAGGCCAGTCAAAGAACCAACCACAAAGAGCTCTGTGTTCCCCTAACCTCTTCCTTACATCTGTGGTGGTTTGGATAGGAATGGCCTACAGGCTCATAGATTTGAATGCTTGATGACCAGGAAGTGACACTATTAAGAGGTGTGGCCTTGTTGGAGGAAGTGTGTCATTGAGGGGTGGCTCTGAGGTTTCAAATGTTCAAACCAGGCCTTGTGTGTGTCTGACTGCTGCCTGGGATCTAGATGGAAAACTCCCAGCTACCTCTCCAGAACCACGTCTACCTGCGTGTTACAAAGCTTCCTGCCATGATGATAATGGAGTAAACTTCTGAAACGAAAGCAATTCACAGCAACCGAAACCCTAACTAAAAAAGCATTCTTTAGCAAGTTGAACATACTATACTTATAACAAAACTTGAGCCAGGCATGGAGGTGCACACTTTTATTTCCAGCACTTGGGAGTCAGAGGCAGGCAGATCTCTGAGTTTTAAGCCAGCCTGGTCTGCAAAGTGTGTTCTGAGATAACCAGGGCTACACAGAGAAACCGTGCCTTGAAAAATAATAAATAATTTTAATCATATTTAACATTTAATATATTATTATATAGTATATCATTTATTTTAATATAATAAAAATTCAATGGGAGAATCAAGAAAGACTTTTTTGCTCCATTCTAGTCTTAATCACTTCGCGATTTGCTACTATAAGACCAATAAAGTTTGTATTCTTTTCAACTGTTCTTTTAGGTTGTAATGCATTTGTTGGTTTCTAGATTAGAATGTAAGTTCTGGACAAATAGTGCCCAGTCTCTCCTGTGGTGGAGTAAAGTATGCTAGCCCAATTCTAGTTTGGGTGAGTTAGCAAACAGTCAGCCCAGAGAACTGACTAGAACCCAATGGTTCCCTGAAGTGGGTCTGAAAGTCCAGTTATGTGCCAGGTTCTGAACTTTGTAGTACAACAGAGACAAGGGGAGAGAAGCAGCAGGTCCACCAACACCACACCATCACGGACTGTCTACTGGGCAGCGCACTGATGAGGACACAGCTAGTGCGCACGCAGGGGTGGAATGTGTAAGGACCAGGCTGCTGTTTTGGATCTGAGGGCAACTAGGCAACTTCAGCAAAGAGCTCAGAAAGGACTCTGGAGCCTTATGCACAGCAGACAAAGGAGTTTTAAAAAGTTACCGCTGCCGATCTGACTTGTATGTGGCTGTCAGCTCATCAAACATAGTGCTGTTCATTTCCATGAAGGCCTTCAACACGTTGTACACCAGCGCCACAATAGCCCTGTGAGGCAGAGCAGAGAACGTACTGTTAGTCTTCCACAGTGGGGCGCTTCTCCTCTATTATATATACATAAAATACTTGAAGTTTTTCTTTAACAAGTTCATACACTTATAAGATGCATTCTGATCATCTTAACCCTGCAACCCTCTCCTCTCTGCCAACCTTATTACCCCCACTGATCCCTACAAATCCATTTCCCACACTCATGTAGCACAGGTTAGCCTAAGCCTCATTATGTACCTAAGGATGATTCTGAACTCCTGATACTCCTGTCTCCGCCTACCTAGTGCTGAGACTATGGGCATGTTCACCACACCTGGTTTAGTCTTAGTGCTGAGACTATGGGCATGTTCACCACACCTGGTTTCCTAGCCCACATCTAGAGCTGAATTCTTTACTGTTCACAATCTTCCTGAGGGATGGCAGAGTTAAAACCCAAAGTTACCCTTCCAAATTATTAAAACATGTTTGTATGGCCAATGCATAATAAAATGCCAGTATAAAAATAAAGCTGCTTTACTGCTTTAGAGGTTGGGAACATAACTTAGGCAGGTGTGTGCGCGCGCAGTCACACATACACGCTGATGGTGTACACCTGTAATCTCAGTACTTGGGGGGACAGAAGTAAGAGCATTGAGAGTTCGAGGTCACTGCAGCTATATACAGAGATTATCTTAAAATAAAGAAACAACAAAGACAGACAGACCGACCATTTACACCTTATAAACAAGAACAGGTGGTTAAAAATGACTTTCAAAGTAATAATATATATCAAGTCAGAAACTGCTCCTAAACCGCGTGTTCAAAGACAGGCGGCCAAGCCCCTACAAGCTGCTGTTGTGGGGTTACATTCGTCTGTCCCTTCCTGCTTAGCCCTTCTGTTGACCCATTACCCCTGCTGAAAACTGCCAAGCTGGTGCAGGATGCTCTTGGCTATGGAGCACTACACAGCTAAGAGGCCAAGCTGTTCGACTATTCTTATCAGGCAGAATGCACTCTAGAAACAGACCACGTGAGAACTGTGCTGTGACAGACTTGAGTGCTTCAGACTAGGCAAAAAGAATGGTGTCTCCCATTTCAAAACTATACAAGGTTGCTTCCATTTTGCAATAACTCCCCCAATCTTACTAAGAAGACATCTCTAAAAAATTGAGGCCACATGTTAGTAAGAGGTCTGGTGTATGCTGCAGCTTCTGCTTGGTGCCCAGAAGAAGGGAATCTACATTAAAGCTCAAGAATGGTCTTCTTCCCAAGGACAGCCCAGGAGAAGCACTGGAAACTGGACAGTAACTGACAGGCACTACCTACAGCTCTCTCCAGACAACAGGAGAATTCTGTATGATGGTGTTTAACAGCTCTTCTTCAGAGTTCTATTAATATAGAACAAGCTAGAAAACTAAAAGAAAACATTATTTTATAACTATGCAAAAATTTAAAAGACAGATATGATAAATTGAACTGCACTTACTAATCCTGCAATGCCACATAACTTTATTGCATAGGCAGACATGCAAACGCATCTTGCTAGACAATATTTTAACTCTTCTAGGGCTAAATTCAACTTGTCCTACACTATAAAATTTTGTCTCCCCCCACCATCCAATAACCTAGCTAGCTGTTAGGAAATGGATATTCCCATAAAATGTAAATCTCTTCAGACCATCTCCTTACATTCCCTCAGCATTTCTTGACAGGTCCTTGCAGAAAGCTCATGTAGGCCTTGCTCCCTTTTCTAGTACTACACACTCATGCCTTTGCCCTCTGGAGCCTACAGGCCTCGGAACGTGACAGACACCTTTTTAAAACGTGACTTTTTACAGGATTCCCTGTCACCACCATCTCCATCAGGATTCCAAATGAAGTCAAGCACTGCCACACTGCAGCACTCTAGAGGTTGAGGCGGGGGGGGGGGGGTGTCATGAATTTGAGGTTCAGGCCAGTACAGTAAGACCCCCGCCTTAGAAAAATGAGCAAGTTTAATTTGAGGCCTGCCAGCCAATGTGCATCCTTTGGAGCTCTAGCACATTCCCCAAATACATCTGGGGCCTTCACACAGAACAGAAAGCCTCTCAAGTAAACAGGTATTTTAACCAAATAGCACTTCTTTACAGAAATATTTGTTTGCTCTTCAGTCCCCCAACCAGCGAATTTTCAGGAGGGATTTTTATCTTGTCACGTGGGCACCTTTAGCAATGGGCACAGCATCTGGTGCACAGCGAGCTGCAGGACATTTTACTAAGGAAAAGAGGAGGAGGAGGAGGAGGAGGAGGAGGAGGAGGAGGAGGAGGAGGAGGAGGAGGAGAGGGAGGAAGGAGGGAAGGAAACTGAACACGTACGGGTTCCAATGCTCTTTTGAAATCCTATACAGACTGGAGAACATGATGGGGAGGATGACGTTGGAGTTTTCTTCTATCAAACTCATGATGTATTCATTATTCCAATAATAGAGTGCCCTTTCTGCCACCTTTGAGGAAAGAAAAGGACAAATTATAATCCTTTCAAATAAAAGTATTTTTAAAAGGCTATTTTTAAATCATTCAATCAAAGGTATATTAAATATTAATAACTCTTTACATTTCGTGAAGATTTATGATCTCTCAGGAAGTCGCCAGGCGGTTTACCAGCTTGGGAAGGAAAAGTTTTCCCTCCCTGTTAACCGTCCTCTCCTCCAAGTCTACACATCCCACCCATTCCCTCGCTCTTCCCTCTACAGTTCCCACACACACCCTCGTCCAGCTCAGCGTTCAGAACTCCTTGTCTGGCTTAGGTCTACTTCACTTTCACTCTGAGTCTTAAATGTCCCCACAGGCCTGTTTTGTTTTGTTTTAAATCCATTAGTAATTTTTATTTTATGTGCATTGGTGATTTGCCTGCCCGTATGTCTGTGTAAGGGTGCTGGATCCCCTGGGACTAAAGTCACAGACAGTTGTGAGCTGCCATGTGGGTGCTGGGAATTGAACCTGAGTCCTCTGGAAGACCAGCCAGTGCTCTTAACCTCGGAGTCATCTCTCCAGTCCCCAGGCTCATGGCTTCAGGCTTTGTGGTGCAGCTTGTGGTGCTGCTTGGAAAGCTGTGGCCTTCTATGGTGGTGTCTGCCTGGAGAAGCGGGTCATTTGCTCACTGTCTTGGATCCCTCTTTTCTGTCCTCCATGCTGCCATGCTCTAACTTCATCTGTGGGCCTGAGCTACTCACCTTGGACTTGAACTCAAATGGTTTTATTTATGTAAATTTAGAAATTATGTTTTGGACAGACTGCAAAATCTCTACACACTGTCCTAAACCTTTTTCTAGTGCATCCAGACCGGCGCTTCACAGAATGGTGCTCCAGCTACTTTTCCTGTTTGGTCTCTTAGTGGTATAAGCACTAGCTTAATACACTACCATGTCTTTAGATTTAAAAACAGTAAGAGCCAGGGCCTCTATCTGACCTTCAAATAAGAAGTGTGCTTTTGCGCTGTTGGACAGTATTTTCAAATGGTGGGCAGCATGGGGAGTCTGCTGGATTTGCAGGGTGGACATTTAGCGAGGTAGCCACCAGGTAGAAGTAAGCACTGCATTCAACTTTGGTCCCTTTCTCTCCTGAGCGGTTTCCACAGCCCAGCAGCCTCCTTGAAAGCACACATCAAGGCGCGCCTTCCCTGTGTTCTCCTCAAACAGCCACAAGGAGGCAGAGCAGGCCATGGAAAGTTATGGGCTTTATTTAGCCTTTTTAGCAAGAGGCCACATTTCAAATTAAAATTCAACCACACTTCCTTGTTAGTTTGGAACCTTGAGCAAGGCATGAAGGGTCTTACCAAAACAGTGGGAAAGACGACATAGGGTAACATTCAGCTTCTCTCCTCCTAAGCATTACAAATCCTCCTCACACACTGGCAAAACCCTAGCGGCTCACTTCATTTAATTTACCCAAGTTAGGACATTTTACTGCTCTAGGCTTTGTGTTCCCATCATGCCTTCTTGCAGGGTATTATGGGAATTGAAGTTAAGAAATAGAGCCTGTTAGGGACAGGTGTTCAGGTCGGGTGACTATTTGTTAACAGTACAGTCAGCCTGTGAGAAAATCCCAAATGAAGACAAAGTAGCTGAGTCGCTAAGACGGTGTTTGTACTGACTGCCTCTTGCAGAAGACCCAAATTCAGTTCCCCACATCCTCACTAGGCAGCTCACAAAAACCTGTAACTCCAGCTCCAGGGAGATCTAAGACATCTCTGGCCTCTGTGAACACTGCATTCATGTATACATACCCACATACACATAATCCCCCCATAAATGAATAAACAAATAAGTAAATGTAGCCAGTGCCCATGATGGCTTTATTTTTCAACACAAACGAAGTTTCTCCAAACTGGTTCACATGGCACACACCATTCTGACTCATGTTCTGTTTACTACTAACCTGAAAATGGGGGCTAGAAACACACTTGGCAATTTGTTTAAACAAAGGTTCTTGGATTTTAACAAACTGTGATGGTTCAATCACATCCAAAATTTCTTCCAGCTCCCCAAGGAACATGACCTTTAAACAGAAGCAAAAAAACAAAATATAAATCCATCACTAAAAACTCCACATGATCAATTTTACTTACAATTTTAAGAAAAATGCACACAAAACGTCAAGAAAGGGAAGGTGGGTGGGTGGGCGGGCAGAAGGAAGAAAGGGAGGGAGGGAGGGAGGAAGCATTTTGGCCCGGGAGGATAGCTCAGCAGGTAAGAGGCTTGCTATGAAAGCATGAAAAGCTGAGTTCAAGTTCCCGGTCCCCACATAAAAAGACAAGTGGGCTGTATGCCTACAACCCAATACTACAGGGCGCTGAGACAGAAGGATCTCCAGGGTTTGCTGGCTGCAGCTCAGCTCCAAATTCTACGGCGAGTCACTGTCTCAAGAGTCCTTTTCTGGCCTACACGTGCAAACCCCACCCCTAACCCATACACACAAAGACCACACTCAGCAAGGGTATTCTGTTAAAGTAAATTACTGATAGCACCAGGAATCCTAACTACAAGGAGGCTCCGGGACCCCAGGCAAACTGGCTTCTCCCCGTTCAAGCCTTTGGGACTCTGCCCACTGCTAACAACCAACCAACCCCACGTTTTAAAAATAATGGCTAACCCTCCTGAACTTATGTGCATTGGTCCACACCACCACAGGACACAGTCACTTGACAAGCAGCTGTCATTCTGCTATGCTCTCCAAGCCTGAGACAAACAGCAAACTCATTCATGTTAAAGTACCACGTGAACCACATCAGCGCACAATGACCCGTTTTCTATGCTTATATGCACACATATGTGCTCCCCTCTCTCTAGAGCACAGTAAATCTCATGGCCTGGGGCTGTATGCAAAAGAAAGCTTGAAGATCACACAATGGAGTGAGACAAATAGATTTAGACATTTGTATAAATAGAATGGAAACATAACAAATAAATGCCAGTTACCTATTTATTCATAAAAAATAACACTGGGAAAAGCAACTAGGCGATTAAAGTATTAAGAAGGATGCTTCTATCCTATCTCAAGGTGCAGATGCAGTGATGAAGAGATCCCCTTTACTTCATGCTGTCAAGAAATGGGGTAACCTCCTGAGGCTCTAGAGCAGGGCTAGGACCACAGCTGATGTGAGGGAGAGGCTCTTTCCATACTGTGTCTTTTGTCACACCCATGTCTTGGAACAGAAAGCTAACAGGTGGCCTCTGTTTCTAGGCCAGAGGAGACGGCTTCAGACAGGTGTAGAGACGGTCAGGCTCCCTTCAAGGTGTTACTTGGGGACCCACTCCTCCCTACAAAGACTCATGGCAGGACATGCCTTTTTAGGTGACTGTATGGTCCTTCATTCCCAGGCATAACAAGTTCAACGTCTGCTATATATTATGATACTGCACCCAGGAACCCCTGAGCACTAGAGTAGCCTTCCAGGCTATGCAAAGTCACTATAAATGTGCTATCGATAGAGCTAAATAAGTGGATACACAATGGAGCGTGGCCAGGGGTTACAGTAGCTAGAAGTTCGTGGTTTAGAGTTCAGGAAGCAGGTTCTGGTTTGTTGGCACATTCTTACTCAGTGTACTTAGGTAACATCTAAAAGCCTCAATTTTATCACTAGTAAAAATGAGAACACCAGTCTGCCTTCCTGACCCAGCCACAGAAAAAGCAAGATTCTGCCTCGCCGAATCAGGTATTGAGCCACGTGACTAACACAGACAAGAATAATGGGCTAATATAAGTTATAAGAGTTAATAAAAAGCCTGAGCTAATGGGCCAATCAGTTTATAACTTAAAGAAAAATGAGAACACTGACTGCCACCGACCTACAAAGCTGCTTTAGATGAGGCATATGTTTGTGCATGTTTAGCCCCACTGAGCACTAGGCAAAGACTTCCTTCAGTATTGGCATTCTCTGATGTTAAATACTTACCTCTTTTTGACTGCATGTTTTAGGCCAAAATTTCATTAAACCCCTAATAACCTATAAAGGAAAAGGAAAAAAAACAAGAGACATTTAATATTTCATATGATTTTAATAAAAATGTTTTTTCTTAAGTTTTTTCACATTATGGAAAGATATAAATAGCTTACTGGTTCTGTAAGTGAAGGATCTTTCTCCAGAAACTGTACTATACAATACGCCAGCTGGGCAAGAACAAAAGAGAAAGGACAGCGCGTTAAATCCCACACTGCAAAAGCTGAGTGCACGGCACAACACATCTCAAAAGCCCCAGGCTCTGGTCTTAATGATACAATCACTTCATTTAAACTCTCAGGAAAAATAAGGCTTTTAAATTTTATTCATTTAGAATTGGAATCCAGCTATGTTGCACAGGCTGGTCCTGAACTCCTAAGTAAATGATTCTCCTGCCCCAGCTTCCTGAGTAGCAGGGACTATAGCTAAAAGCTGTGTTTTCAAGTCAATGACAGAGCAACAAGACCCCAGAGGAATTTTTTTCTTAAAAGAGTTCTAAGATTTCTGAGGCTGATGGAAAGTGGCTGACACGGTGCACTCTGAGAGGATCTCATTTACAGCCAGACAGTTGACATCTCAGGTTATGGGATTTAGTTTCTACGGGGAAGCATGTGTTTTCTAAATACCTAGGCAACTGCCTACACGGGACCTGAAAACACAGCTTCCCAAAAAGACCACAGGATATACTTTGCCATAGTCAGAATCTAAGGAGTGCTCCAGTCTCAACAGGAATGTTTTCAAATAATCACAAAATGTTATATCCCACAGCACAGACTAAAGAGACGTTTTCTAGAGGGCTCGGAAACATTCCTGAACTAGAGACCTACCCTTTTAAAACACCAGCATTTTGATGGTGTGCTAAATCTGGAACATATGCATGAATTTTTTTCTTCAAAATACAGAGTTCCACATTTAAGAAGGAACACTACTTAGAAAAATGTGTTACATTTTAATGCAAACTCAAAAGAGAAAGGAGCCAGAGGCTTAAAGCACTAAAATTAAAACTATCACTAGGTCAATTATGTCTTCCCGTGGCACGTTTACCATGCACTGCAGTGTTCAGAACAGGGTTACCGTGAGTGTGACAGAGGCTGATTACCATCACTACTCCTTTTATGGACGTATCTGATTTTCTCTGAGACAACTAACTATTGCCAACACTAGCCTCAGTCTTATAAGTGTTGGGATCACAAGGTGATTTTCAAAGTAATGAAGGATTTATAAAAGGAAGATGGGAAACTACTGAGAGGTCTGCCTACTGCGTGTACAAAATGAGAAGAGGGGAAGCAGACGAGGGCAAAGGGCGCGGGGACCAGTACTGGAGCGCATCCAATTCACCGGGAAGGCCCACAGTGGCCACACTCACTCCCCTCATAACCTTCTTACACTCTACATTCACATCCATGCTGCTATGGGCAGTCTTTGCAGCAGCTAACATTGGGGACACAGAAGTCAGCTATGAAATAAGACGGAACAAAGGCCATTCCTACCTTTAAAATAGTTCCAAGATTCTACTGTGTGTAAAAAATAAAATGCACGCTTTATCATTTTCCCCGGGGAGCGTTTTTAACCATTTTTAACCTTTAGCACACTTTTTCTTTAAAAAAAAAAAAAATTAAATTAAAAAAAAGGGAAAAGGAAAACCAATATCCTAAGAAACACTAAGTCCACAAACTTGATTTTATTTCAAAGGCAGGCTGAGGGATTGCGTGTTCACAGCCAGCCTTAGCTACAAAGGAAGATTTTGTCTCAAAAATAAAAAATAAAAATAAAGGTTTTACTATAAGGTCCTACCTGGGCATGGAAGAGAGATAAACTCCTGACAGTGTGTAGAGGGATCAACACTTTGACCAGGAACTGTTTGTGCTCGGCCTTAAGTGGTAAAGCGAAGCCATTGATAATACTAGAAAAAAGAAAACGCAGGTTAGCAATGTCATCCCACATACTGAACCAGACAAACTATTGCTATGAGCTGGCTACCCCTCCGTTTTTATTTGTCCAAAAAACATAGCCAACCCCTTCCACCACTGACAGTCAAGACTTTTTAGTTACTTCAACTAAAGATAATTTACTAAGTAGGAATTTTAAAAAGAAAATGTATCTGATTATGAATATCCAACAGAGGAAGCTGTGCTTTCAAAAACAGGCAGACAGTACCTCAAAATTTCCTATCAAACCCATGTTTTGACCTCCCTCTGCTCCTCTGTCTAGCGCCCACCCTGCTAACTTGTTCTTCAAACACAGGCCTTCTGCCTCCAGAACACCTCGCCTGCCTGATATCTTTAAATCCCCTTCCCTTCTCTAGACACCATTTCTCTTCATCCCTGAAGCCTCTGCCCAGCTTGGGAGGTCACTGAGAGGAAGCAGGGAGAACACAGCTCCGTTTCTCCTCTCAGGAGGAAAGACTAGGCCATCACTATCCAACTCTGTCAGCTCTGAACCTCACACAGCTGCCTCGCTCCTCCTCTGAGGTCAGCAGCTGCCTAGAACTCCATACCTGGGCACACAATCTTTCAATTCATTATAAATCTGCTTTCAACAGCTGTGAGAAAGGACAGGTAACCCACAAGCTAAGCCTAGCGAATGAGAACCTTTGCTGTCACTGGCCTGACAGCCAATCAGACACACTGTCTCTGAGTAAGCTGTGAGCTCCTTCTCATTGTGGGGTAGCTAACAATATCTAATTGTGGAACAAAGGAGCAAAGGTGAGTCTTTGAGTCACCTGGGAAACAGGCTAAGCACAAATGAGAGAGACCCAAGGTTCTTGCAGCAAGAGATCCAAGTCAGCACCCCGTTCTGCCACCTGAACATGATCTGCACAATGAGATTCACGCAAATCCGCAACTCACAGCAAATGCTTACCTTCCTAATATTTCCAGCAGTTCAGCTACACCGTTGAAGTGTTCTGTTTCATAAACAAACCTGAGAAGAGAAAGAAGAAAGGAGAAGGAAAGGAAGGGAGGGAGGAATAGGCAGGGGAGTAAGAAGGGAGTTAGCACATCATTTCCTTCAACTATTGGAGGTTTACTTAACATTTGTAAAAACATCAGTTTTGCTCTCCTGCTTGCCCATCATCCACTCACCTTAGAAAAATATTGTTAATTTGTTTTCGGATAAATGCTCTAAGCCCGAGAAACTTGCCATAAATCCTGTGCAAGACTGTTTTTAAATAGTCCCGTTCTCGGGGGTCTTCACTGTCAAATAGCTCCAAAAGCTGTTGTAAATGAAGGTAGAATAAAAAGCTGTCAGAGACAGTTTTGGTAAATGACTTAGAAATTCTATCGTTCATTATTTATAATCCCTCTGTCCCCTTCTTCCCTGGCACAGCAGTCATCTTTGGGAAGCCAGCTGAGTCAAAGCTGTACAGCCAGGGAGGAGATGTACGCAACAGCAGCTGGAACAGGAACAGCCAAAGCAGTGCTCACAGCATCGATCAACCAACCATTTTCTACGCAATCTACACAGGTCAATCCTTCTATGAGGGGGTTTTATCCTCACCTTACAGATGAGCAAACTGGAGTACAGAGCTTAATTAACCTGCTGGTGATGTCAGAGTGAGAAGCATTAGGACTGGTATTTGAACCCAGGAAGTGAATACCTTAAGTCCATGACATCCTGGGTTCACGTTCCAGTTAAGTCCCTCAGTTAAGGCCCAGGAAGATGACATGACCTAGCCCAAAGCAGACACTGAAATTCCCAATGCCCCAGCAATGCTCTTGTTAGTCTGGGTGGTTACACAGGTATACTCAGGGTGGAAGGGCTCAAAGCAGACATGTACTATGCCTGGACGTGTGAATGGCATGCCTTAGGTTCTAGATCATTTATAATGTTAGCCACAGAATTCTAATAACATGGTCTCAAGTCTCATGCCATAAAACAAAAAACAAGTTCAGTCTTAGGCCAAGTGGCAGGGGCCACTACATATTCAACCCAATCCCTGTAAGAAATCACAGGGGCCTTATTTTTGCTATATTGACTACCGAAGACAAAGGAAGAAAGCTCAATGGCCGAGAGCCAAGAACTATGCACAAAGCCATGTGTTCAAACACCAGTGGGGTGGGGAGGGTTGGGGGGGGGTATGACCTGCATGTGAGCATGCCTACAATGCAAGCACTTAGGAAGCTTAGTCCAGAAGATCTTGAAATTGAGTTCAAAGAGAGCTACATGAGATCTGGTGTCAAACAACCAACAACAACAAAATTGGTTGAATCTAAATTTATATACAAATACAAATAATCTGAAAGAGTCAAAGCAATCTTGGTAGTAAGAGGACCAAAGGACTCACATTTCTCAGCTTTAAGACTCAATAAAAAGTTACAGTAATCACGTGTGTGCTCCTGGCATGTGACAGATTATATAAAAACTTTCAAATTCATGCTCAGTTGGTTCCATGGGATGCCATAACATTTCAGTATGGAAAGAAACAGTCTTCAATCTAAGATGCTGGGTCAACCAGAGCATCATATAAAACATATAAAAAGTCATACTTCTAGCTCATACTACAAATTCAAATGGACTCAAAATAGATAATCAATCTAAAGACACAAGTAAATGACAAATAGAAGAAAACTCAAGAATAAATCACAACTTCAAATCAAGTGGTTTTTATTAAACCACTGCCAAGAAATGCGTAAACAAAAAGGGGGAAAAAACTAAAAACATATGTGCTTTAAAGACAGTAAAAGAAAGATAACTTACAGAAATAAAGTATGTGCACAAAAGGCTAGCAGTACCCACAATATATAATGAACTACTAAATCTCAATAACAGCACAATTCCAACGGGAAGATAACAGGAGGCAAAAGAGGAAAAGTTCATGGGGTCCCACCCTTCCTTGAGGAGGTACAGTTTATGACTGGTTGCTGGGGGAGGAGTGATATTTTTCTTCAGTGGCAGAGCTACTGATAAGGTGCCTGCACTCCTGTAAGCGATCCTAATTAAGCTCACTGAGACAATATGCACAAGTGGGGCCAGTTGAGAAGACGAAGACACTCAGAAGTGGAAAAGAGACAAAAGAGGGAAATGGGGAGTGATCAAAATGTATTACATATGAGCTAGGGAGTGGTGGTACATGCCTTTAATCCCAACACTTGGGAAGACAGAGGCAGGCAGATCTCTGTGAGTTTGAGGCCAACCTGGTCTACAGAGCAAGTTCCAGGACAGCCAGAACTATTATAGAGAGAAACCCTGTCTAGAAATATATAAAATTATATATTATATGAAGTTCATTGTGTCTAAATAATGTATGCTAAAAATTTTCTGAGAAAATGAAAACTCAACTTGCAAACTGACGAAGGATGTTTGAGAAGATATATCCCAAAGAAGATATAGAAATGGCAAATGGATACATGGAAAAGTGCTCGATTTCATTAACCATGAAAATGCAAACCAAAGGAAGACAGCACTCATCTGATGCAGCCTCAAAAGGGGAGAGAGACAAGGAAAGTGTTGGTAAAGACACTGGAGGCTCCCATTACTGTTGGCGAGAATGTAAGATGGTGCAGGGTGAAGACAGTCTGGTAGTTCCACAGTCCATACTTCATTCCCAAGTACGTGACGGACAGTACAGAAAGCATACATCCATACAAGTGATTCAGAGTATGAAAAGCTGCACACACTTGTTCATAGAAGCAATACTGAAAACACAATGCCCATCAATAGGTGGGAGGAGGAACACTGCTCATAAAGAAAATGAAGAGTGGGCTGGAGAGATGGCTCAGAGGATAAGAGCACTGCCTGCTCTTTCAAAGGTCCTGAGTTCAATTCCCAGCAACCACATGGAGGCTCACAACCATCTGATGCCCTCTTCTGACCTGCAGGCATACATACAGACAGAATATTGTATGCATAATAAATAAATAATTTTTAAAAAAAGAAAATGAAGAGTTGAGAATCCTCATATTATCACGATACAGATGACACTGCCAACCATTGTGATAAATACAGAAATCAGACACAAAAGGACATAAAATGCACGGTTCCATTGATATGAAATACTCAGAACTGGTGTTAAGAATGAGTTTAGATTTTGTCTGGAGATGATATAATATTCTGCAGGGATCTTGCACAGTCCTGTAAACATATTTAAAATTACTGAATTGGAAGGCTGGAGAGACAGGGGATCTGGGTCAATTCTAGGATCCATGTAAAAAGCCAGGGGGCACATGCTTGCAATAGGATACGTAGAGCTCACTGGCCAGCTAACCAGTGAGCTTCAAGCCATGATAGGCACTGTCTCAAAGCAAACAAATGTGAACGGCACCCGAGGAATGACTGATCACTGGCTTCCACATGCATGAACATACATGTGTACACATACCTGAACCCTATGCATCCACCCCATACATATATTTAAACATATAGATAGAGTACTGAATTGTAAACTTCAAAAGGGTAACTTTATGTTACATAAACTATAATTTGACAAATCTGCTATTTTGTAGAAATGACAGTGGAACTTGGAAACACTCCTGAATGTTATTAATTCTTAATATGTTCATTACCATTGCAATAAAACAAAACCAACTCAGCATGTAAATAAAAGCTGCCTACCTTCGTCCTCACAAAAGGCTATGTGTATATGTTATGCAAGCATGATTACATATAGTTATTCATACATAAATCCATGTGACAGAGATGTGAGGCTGAGTCTCACAGTATAGAGGGAATGATAATCATATAAACAAGGTTTTGTTTGAAGAAAGACAGTTCTGGGCAAAATTAATTAATTAAAAATAAAGCCCTTCAAATATGGCAGGAAGCAAAAACTGAAGGATAGTCTTCTAAAATGGACAGCGAAACAGTGCACAAGCTTGGCTTTACAGTGCTTATCATTCTATCAGTTTGTTCTCAATTGGGTATTTTGAGTAAATATTAGTATATATTAAGAGCCAACAAATGGGCAAGGAGGTGCCAGGGATATAGTGATATGCAAGTCAGACCTAATCTGCTTTCACAGAGTCTAGTCTAACAGTGGATAAAAATAAACAAGCAGCACAAGTAGTTCAAGATGTTGTACAGGCCATAATGGGTTTATCTACTCTATTCGGAAGAGATACTGTAACAGAGAAAGCTTCTAGGGAGAGAGCTAGCCAGTCCCCTCCCCAAACAGAGACACAAAAGAACTGGGACAAGTGTTTTTACTGATCAGCTTTCTGTCACTACAACAAAACACATACTACAAACTACTTGTGAAAAAGAATGCTTTTTTTTTTTAAGCTCAATTTTGAAGGCTCAATGTCCAAAATGACATAGCATACACAGCCAGGACTGCCCTTGACCACACTGATAAGGGAGTCATCAATTACAAACGACAAGGAAGTGATTACATTACAACTCCAACCAGGACAGAGAAAAAGAGAAACTTGTATCTTATAATCCCTCCCAAGAGTGTGTCCCAAATGACCTAAGGTTCTCTCACTAGTCCGTACATTTTAAAGTTTCCATATCATTCGCCCAAACTGCCACCTTGGGTGCCAACCTCCAAGTGCAGAAGACCATGGGGGTGGGGTCACTTATATCACACCCAAACCAGTGCAATTTTCCCAAGGGATTGTGGGGTAAGGAAGGCAGCAGCCTAACTGACTGACGATACTCTCTGCAATAACTGTCATATGGCTGCTCAAGTAGCAATAAACAAGTATGTGTGAGCCCTTTCCTCTTGCCATGTGCCCCTTGCTGCTCGGGACACAGACTTCCAGCTAACTATGGGAGGCAACCAGTGAGTTAACAATTTACTTGCACAGGAACGCATTCTACTTAGAAAGGAAAAACAGGTGGCCTTAACAGGTCAGAAAGGACAGAGAGGGTGTGTGTGCCTCAGATGTGCTCATTATCTCTTAGGTAAGAGACACTCAAAACTACTCAAGCTATCTAACCCATCTACTGCATTCCATTCCTTGGTCATGGAAATTAACCTTTTCAAGTTCTATTTTTTAATCTGGTTTCTACTTTAAGTGGTGCAACGGGGCTTAATGAGTAATATGCAACCAACATAAGAAGAGGTTTGTGGGGGTGGAATGTTAGCAAAACCTGAATCAACTGAGCTTCTGTATTGCTAATCTAAAGAGTTTAATAACTGTATAATTAAACAAAAATTATTTAACTAAATATTTCATTAGATTCTCAAAAAAAAAATCTATTTTAAGGAGGACCCTGACTTAAAGCCTCTGCAGTGTCCTGTTAAATGCACCATCCTCTACAGCAAAGAAAGAC